GAAAGAGTCTTAACTCATAGACAGGTCCCACATACTACATAATCTACAAGTTCAGAGAAACTGAAAAGTGACCTCTCAGTCTAGCCTTTACCAGAAACAATGTTTGTTAACCAGACAGAAGGTCATAAGAGAAAGGAGGGTCAGTAAAAGCCAAAGAAGAGTCACTTTCAACACTGTCCATAAACCCGTCTCTTCACTAGTTAGCTCTACTTGACTATATTGTGAGTAACAGACAGGGACTTGCAAAAGAAAGGTTTAGTTCTTATGCATGTTCTGTTTTGGCCATTTTATATGTCTTCATTCTGGGATCCAGGCTAAAGGCACAGCCCCTATCTGGAATGTGCACTTTCCATGCAGAAGGGAATGAGTATTGGGAGAACCATGTAATGTTTTTAAAAGCCTCTGCTCAGATGCTACATACACTACTCTGCTCACATTCAGTTAACACAGCAGATCACATTCCAAGCCTGTTGTCATTGAGTTGGGGAAGTGTACTCCTCCTTCAGGGAGAGATCAAAAATTACATGGCAGACCATCCCATGGCTTACTGGTTAAGGGAGCCAGATCCCACATGGCCAACTATGCAGTTTGATTCATAGCCCTGATGGCTTGAACACCATGCCAGATGTGTGTGCATGCATGCCCAGGATTCTGACAGGATGGAAAAATGAAAGAGAAGGGATTGTGATGTCCCCCTACCCCACTGTAAGATTCTTTCTCTCTCTCTCTCCCTCTCTCTCTCTCTCTCTCTGTCACCCCCACCCCCACTTCCCATTTCTCTCTCTCGCTGGTGACCATAGGCACCCTTTAGCAGTTAAAAAAAATCACATGGCAATAAGTGATGATATATAATTTTACAAGGAGGACAAAGAATAACTGGAAATAACAGTATAATCTGCTGTTGGTTACCACCACTTGGTCTAAGTATTCATTTCTCTCTCTATTTTTTTTTTACTTTTGCTCTAGGGCACTTGTGCTTACCCCAAGTGATGGTCATGCTGTAATCCCTTCTCCTTCATGCCTCCTCTCAGGATTTTGGGCATGCACACACATATGCCCAGCATGTTTTTCAAACTGCCAGGTCTTGGACTCCAACTGCAGAGTTGGCATGTGGCATCTGGTATCTCAAACTCCATGCCATCTGCCGGCCCCCATTTTCCTCCCTGCTGTAAGTGAAAATACAGTTATCTACTTTCCAATGAAGATGACCTGAAAGTGTTATGCAAACACAACATCAGGCTCCAACTCCAAGATATCATGTTAATTTCTATATCAGGTCTGGACATGGCACCTCTTCATGTAGAAGCCTATAAACTAAAAAGATGAGTATCTGCCTCCCATACATACTCAATATACAATAATGGAATGGGGACAAGATACCCACAGCTCTCAGAAAGGGGAGGAATGGGAGGCACATGTACACTGATACCCAGCAATTCTGAAATCCTGCTAGACAAATACAAGGGCCTTCATCCCTGAGATTAGGGATTGTTCTTTAATAAGGCCCTGCTTTTGCTCATTGGAAGAAGTTGCCTACTCATTGTTCTCCAGGGCTGTTGGCCCAGTCTTCTAGGAGGTCTTTCCTTTTCCATTATTCTCTAGGCCACATTCGAAAAGGGAGACTTACAGCCTCCTTGGGGACCGAGCAGCATTCTCAGCCTGCTTTTGCCTGAAGAATGTTGGGGCATTTGAAGTCTCAAATAATCACAGTCTCTTTTAATCCCGACTGGTAGCTCTTAGCAGTGCAGCTCTCTCAAAACCTAATTGCGTTTTATATCTTTGATTTCTGTCATCTCATGTACTAGTAGACTTTCCCACAATTTAAGACATGCATCTCTTTTTAAACCTAATTAGAAGTACCTTGCCCTTATCTGACTTCTGTGGGAGGGCCACTACTTTGGTCTTTTTTCCCAGAGCACATCTGCCCAACTGGCAGGATTTATTGGGTACCATCTTAATTAGCTGAGAGATCACCACCAACAGCATGATAGCCACATACTTGACTTGGTCTTTTCCCCAAGGCTGAGTTATAATCAACCTTATCACTCAAAGCATTTTTTTCAGTTTTATCTTTTACCATTTGAATATGGGAAACAGTTTCAACTCTTAATCTTGCAAGTCCTGGAATTTCTGAACTCTGTTTTCCATTTCCTCCCTACTTACAAACTCGCCAGTTCTTTTCTGAGCTTCCATCTTCCTGTAGCACCTTGCCAAATGCAGCCAATAGCAATCAAGACATGCTAGTAACCTTCTGCTTCTTAGTTTCTTCCCCTTAAAGCACAAGTTTATTCAGCATATCATTTTTCTTCCAAGTTATTGCAGACAACAATTTTCACAATGCTTTACATAATGAGGACTGCCATCTTTCCAGCCCCTCGTAACAGCTTTTTACCACCTGCTGCCCTCCCCAAACCAATGCCACACATTTTTGTTTTTTGTTACTGCAGCACTCCATTTCTAGGTGCCAATTGATTTTTAATAAGAATTTACTAGGATGAGCTGCAGTAACAAACAACCCCCAAACCTCAGGCTTTCAATAACAAAAATGTATTTCTTGCTCATATTACACATCTGCTGCCGATTTCCATGGTTCAGCCTTATCTCTGTTCTGTCTTCTTCATTCGAGGATCCAGGCTGGTAGAGAGAAAAGAGTAACTGCAGGACCATGTGATGGTTCTTAAAGCTTTGGCTCAGATGTGACTTACCTCACTTGAGCTCACAATCTACAGGCCAGAGCACATCACATGGCCAAGAACGGCATCAGTGAGGTGGAGAAAGAACTATACTCCTCTCACAGGGGGCTTAAAAGTCATATAGTAACAGATAGGGATGCATAATCTCCCATGGGGTTGTTAGCAAATAATTGGGACTAATAATACAATTTACTCTCCTCTTTGTTCCCTGCTTTTTACTCCTCATCCTAATTGCCTTTCCTTCAGAACTTCCCCTGAGACTTTTTTCACAACCTCTTATTCCCCAATTTCCCTTAGGAGCTGCCAGGCCTTCCCATGTATCTAGCCCATCCTTTCCTGTTTGCCTGGTATCATCTGTATTCCTTTCCTCCTGAAGATGCACTCACAAAGGCTTACTGGGTGACATCCTCACCTGCAAACTCACTTCTCTTACCTCTCTCTTCCAGCAAGATTCATAAACCAATGTCTATGGAGCACCTGCCGTGCCTATGAACTATGCAGCAACTTTATAAGGCCTAGTAAGCCCCTTTAAGGAGGCCATAGCTCTGTAGTGGTGACTGGGAGATGTGTTTACTTTGAGATTATTTTCTCTTTTCCTTACCTGTTTTTCTCAGCCAGGCTCAATTCAGCACTGACCTCCCTTCCATGTCCCTGGTGTATCATGCAAATGTATAGCCAAGTAGTCAGCCCTAGAACAGAGAGGCCACCTCTGTCCCCTCCCTAACAGCAAGAGAAAACAGGACAGAATCCCCTTGCCTAATTGTGAACCTATGGGCAATATGTCTAGTGATCAGGAACAGAACCTCTACAAACAGTTCGCATTTCAAATCCCAGCTCCATTTCTTATTAGTTTGTGTGACCTTGAACAAGTAATGTAACCTCTCCCTGTTTCTTTTTACATACCCAGAGGCTTCCAGGAGAATGAAAGGAGATAATATATATCCCTCATATGCCATCATGACCAGCACATTGTGTACTCAACAAATAATAGCTTTCATTATTCTTATCAGTTTATTTGTGGAACCCAATCAATACTTTTTTTTTTCCTTTTAGATTGTTTTGCCATAGGGTGTATGTGCTCATTGGGAGACACAGCAAAAGAGAAAGTGAGAAATCACCCCTGGAGGAGATGGCCATACTGCAATCCTTTCTCCTCCATTCTCTCCTTTTGGGATTTTGGGCACACCCACTTTTGGCATGATTTTCAAACCCCTGGCTCTGATACTCAAACCACGGTCCCAGCTCCTTAACCACCATGCCATCTGCTGGCTCCCCAGTCAATATTTTTAAAGCCCTGTATTTTTCTATTCTCTGCACAACTCTCAGCTAGTGAGGTAGAGGCTATGCCTTTTTATTTTGTTCTCAGGGCTTTGAGATCTGACTTAGCAGCCTCAGCCCCTCTTGCTGCCACCACACTCACCCCATCCTAAGTATTCTGGTGCTCTCCACCTTGTCTGTAGGTGACTATGAGCTGGATGTCTCCCCCTATGAAGACACGGTGACTAGCAAGCCCTGGAAAATGAATCTCAGCAAACTGAACATGCTCAAACCAGGTGAGGAGGGCAAGCCTCAACTGGAGAAGGGGAGGCTGCGCCTGGACCCTGTGGGAAGAGTGGCTAGGGGGACACCAGCTGGGGGCTTATAGAGGAAGAGTATCTAGCCTGCCAGGTGACTGCAGAGCACTGTGCCAGGACAGAAGTCTGAGCTGCAGTGCATGGTCTGGTCTCACGAGAGTCATCAAAGAGCAACAGTTATTAGGGAGGCATTCAAAGAGAGCCCATTAGGGCTCCCTGATTCCAAAAGGCGGGTTTCCACAAAGGGTGTGGTGGGAGTGGCAGCCCTCCCAGAAAAAATGTACTGAAATGGACTATTTACCCACATTCAAGGCAGGAAAGTAGCTTTTTTGTCCCTGAAGACTAGGAAATTGCTTGTTTTTCAACCATTCTAATGGGATGGGCGAGGTGTTGGGCAGGGAAAATGGTGAGAGAATGTGACTCCGCACAGGGGTGACTCAGGGTGGGGAGCCATCAGTCTGACAGGGACAGTGATGCATGATTTTCAGGAAAGTGAAGCTGTGAGTTAATAGAGAAACACATCACACATGCACTCTTTTTCAGAAAGAGGAGAGCTTTGTTGTTAGTTCTATATATTAGAATGATAAGTTTGATGGGGGAGAAAGGCATAGATATGTATGTATAACTCTTAGTTACAAGAATCAAGGTAACCTGTTCCAGTCGTTCAATTATTCTGGTTGCTAAAATAGTCTGTTAATAGAAATATCATCATAATTTCCCAAAATTCAGAGTATGGGGAACTTTTATGCATGAATTGGTCAATGGAAGATGGGCAGGTGACATTACAACCTAGCAGAATAAATAAGTCTAGACCAAACCAAAGTGAAACAAAAAATCTAAAAAGAATTTAGTTGCATCAGTTTCTGACAGTTCAGAAAGTGTATTAGATATTGTAGGGCCCCTAAGTTATGGTTTCCACCCTCAGGTCTCACTGCATAGCACTAAGGAAAGGGTTTTGGTTATTTGAACTTTCTGACTGCTTGAATTCTAGATACATGGGTGTTATTTTTTAAAATAATTATTTTATTTTAACTTTATTGATTTATTTTAATTGGACTGGAGAGGGACAAAGAGAGAGGGGGAAAGCAAGAAAGCAAGCTGCCAGGTCTGGGACTCAAACCATGGTTGGCCAGTGCCCTTAACCACCACACCACCTGCTGGCCTGATACGTGGGTATTAAATGTATACAGAGGATGATGATGACTTGACCTAGTCAAGATGAGGAGTAGGATGGGGAAGGCTTCAGAGTAGCGAATATAGTATGTGGGTAGAGGGAAAGCCTTGGATCCGGAGTGGCTTTAATTAGGACACTCCTCCCTTTTCTTCTGCCCCCACGACCTTCCTTGTCAGATCTGGGGTTTGCGGGGAGTTCCTAGGGTGACTGGGCGAAGGTATGCAGAGAAGACGCTGCCTGGTGACTTGGTGCCCTTCTCCCCGCAGACTGGGACCTCTGCCTCAAGTTTGCTACGCTGTGTACTCTTAATGACAAGTGTGACAGGCTGCGCAAGGCCTACGGGCAGGCGTGCTCAGGACCCCACTGCCATCAGCACTCCTGCCTCGTGCAGCTGCGCACCTTCTTTGAAAAAGCAGCGGAGCCCCACGCGCAAGGTCTACTGCTTTGCCCTTGTGCGCCCACTGATCTGGGCTGTGGGGAGCGGCGGCGCAACACCATCGCCCCCAGCTGTGCTCTTTCACCTACAGCCCCCAACTGCTTGGAGCTGCGGCGCCACTGCCTCTCTGACGCATTGTGCAGGTGCTGGGTGTGGGCCCAGGGATGGGCAAGGGAGGGGCTCCCCAGCACATTTGGTCTTCTTCCTGGGCAGAGCTGAGTCTGACTCCCTAGAGAACTGCAGACTCATTGGCTGCTTCCAGATACATGTGCTCTTCGCCATTTAGCCACTTCACATACTTTGTGAAACTTTTCTAAAAAAAAATAAAATAAAATAAAAAATATATATGTAATATATATATGAGGAGACTTCAGAAAGTTCATACAAAAATGGAATTAAAGTACAAATTCATTTTTGTGCAAAAATTTTGAAATTGTGAAGTTTTATCATAATACACATTTCTATGAACTTTTTTAAGACCCTGCATGTGTTATTTTCTATGTATAATAACTTCAGAATATATAAAAATGCATAATCGATAAGGATATAATATATATCATCACCTGAAGATAATCTACCATACCTTGCGGAGCATTTCCTTCCAGTCAGTTTTCTATCAAGATAACAAAAGTAGACATTCTGGGAATGTATCTGTGTCATGCTCTTTTTCACTTATGGTACATATCTTCCCAACATTTTCCTCTGGAGGCAGTATAGAGTGGTGGTAAGACATGCTCTGAAGTCAGACAGAGGTGAATTTAAATCCTGGGCCCCTTGAGATTAAGCTCATCACTTAACCTAAAATTCTGTCACTTAATCTAAGACTGTTCAGTTCCGTATAAAAACAGAGATAATAAGGCAGACTTCATGAGATTCTGATGAGAGTTTATTTACATAATTTACATACAGTGCTTAGCTTATTGGTACAGAGTAAGTGTTCATTAAAGGACAAAGCTTATTGTCAGTGTCTTTTAGGAACTTGATTTTTAAAGAAATTGTTTATTTAATTCTATTTTTTATCATTATTATTATTATTATTTTATTTGACCAGTGAGAGAGAAAAAGGGAAAGTGAGAAAGCAAGCTGCCAGGTCTGGGACTTTAACTATGGTTGGCCATGTGGGAGTCCAGCATCTGACAGGGACAGGCTTTACTGGGGGAAGTCTCTGGGCCAGGCCCTGACAGCAGAGGAGGATGTGGCATGTGGCTAAAGGGGCAGGGAAGGTGAGGGGTGCAGATCAGGCTCTCAATGGGGACTCTTGAAATTTCCCTTCTTCCAGATCACGCCTGGCAGATTTCCAGACCCACTGCCATCCGATGGACATCCTAGGGACATGTGCAACAGAGCAGTCCAGATGTCTGCGGGCATACCTGGGGCTGATCGGTGAGGGAGCCCACTGGTTGGTCCAGCTCTGAGGATAAGAACACTCTGGAGACTGAATCCAGCTGGGTGGGAAGGGGTAGAAGCTCAAGTTAGAATTGGCTGAGGCCCTGTGAACCCCTTCCCCTCTTCACTCTACAGGGACTGCCATGACCCCCAACTTTGTGAGCAATGTCAACACCAGTGTTGCCCTAAGCTGCACCTGCCGAGGCAGTGGCAACCAGCAGGAGGAGTGTGAACGGCTTGAAGGATCCTTTTCCCGCAACCCCTGCCTCAGTGAGTATGCTTCACTTGCTCTCCTCCGTGTGACCAGGTCAGCTGGACCTAGGGGGAGAACAAAGGTCAACTCCATGTCCTGGATCGGTTCTGTCCATCTCCTCTAGCCTGGCCTTTCTTCCTTCTCCACTCTCTGCATGACTTATCCCATGCATACTGCCTATTCAACCTGTCTGGGTCCCAGAAATATCTTCAGCTCAAGAAACAAGCAAACAGAATGAGACATCTCATTTCCACCTTCCATCCCTCTGCTTCCCTACATCCCGGGGTCCTATGGCATTCCTTTTCCTTCCCTAGAAGCCTGAACAATCTCCTGCCACCACACTCTTCCAATTTGTCTTTTCTCTTCTCCTCAGTGGAGGCCATTGCAGCTAAGATGCGTTTTCACAGCCAACTCTTCTCCCAGGACTGGGCAGACTCTACCTTTTCTGTGATGGAACACCAGGTAGAGCCTCCTTATAATACCCCTCATACCTTTACTAGACCAGCTGGGGAAAAACCAAACCAGCAGATGAGAGGATTGGGTGGGGGGGGTTTGACTTATTACCCAGAATATTACAGAGTTCTTATGGACACCTTAGAGGAAGGAGGCAGAAGACTTGGCCGAGGCTGAGGTGGCAAAGCCGATAGAGATGGTCCCCTGAGCTGACACCACTCTGTTTCTTCCACAGAATAAAAATCCTGCTCTGAGGCCACAGCCCGCTCTTTTCTTCTGCATCCTTACCTTGATTCTGCTCCTGAGCCTCTGGTAGCTGGACTTCCTGGGGGACTGCTTACACTCCACCACATCTATTCAGCTTTGCAGCCTGCCTGGGGTGAAGGAAGGACGGCATGAGGAAGGAGATGCAGTCCACAACATGGCAACCCTGACACCCCCTGCTCTCCAGCATGTCCAGTTGGCTCCAGATGAGGCCCAGTAGAAGTTAGAAGCTTTGACCTACATTGGATGGTTATCATTCAGCCCACCCCTAACTCCTCTTCTGACTCAGGCTACCTCTCCTTGGGATTTGGTGACCACAGTTAGCCATATCTCCTGGTAGTGACCAGCTGTATCAAACTCTTTCCTGATCCCATCCTCCTCCACAGGATCACTCAGAGTCTAACAGTCATTCTCTATTAAATTCTCTAGATAGGCAAGGCTGGGTGTTCTAAGGTAGCCTAAAATGTCTTCCTCACATTCACCGTTGTGAGGAAGGCTGGAGCAGATGTCTAACCCCTTGTTTCCCCCTTTGAATAGGGGATGGGAACCTGCTACCTGCACCAGTCTGCCTCTGGATCTTGCAGAAATTTGAGCATGAGGAGCTGGAGCCCATGGGCCTTGCTTTATTCCTACCACTGTCCTAATTTCCCCCGCCCTCGGGTCATGATTAAACATTTTGACTTAAGTCTTTGCTCTCTTCCCATTTTCTCAAATGGAATGTATACATAACTAGGGGCACTTCAGGTGAAAGAGCACAGGCCAGGTGATGAAGATACACAACAACGCTACCATCAACTGCTATGTGACTTGAGGCAAGTCTTTTGTCCTGTCTTCTTGACAGGAACTAGAAGAACAATAGCATATGTGAGGCTGTGGACCTGGGATCTGTCACAGCAACTGAGAGGTGGGCCCTTAGTCAGCTACAGCATTTATTGAGTATTTGCATGTGTTATTGGTCTGCTCCAATAATAATGGCAGAGAAAAGCAGAGATTGGACCTTGATCGCAGGGAATTTGTAATCCTATTGGGATAAGGAAACACCCACTCATGCAAAGTAGTTGGATATATTTATAGAGCTGTGGGTATTTGTCTATTAATTCATTCACTCTTTCAATAAGCATCTGATGAGTGCTGGCTCTGCAAGACACTGTGCTGGGTGCAGGAGGTTCTAAAGTGATAAGATTCAGATCCTTTTTTAAAAAAAATTTTTGCCAGAAGGTATGTGTGCTCACTGCAGAGAGACAAAAAAGAGAGAGAGAAAAAGTAAGAAAGCACCACCCCCCTCCCCTGTGGGGAACAGCCACACCATTATCTCTTCTCCTCTATTCTCCTTTCAGGATTTTGGGCATGCATGCACAGTGTGTTTGGGCATGCGTGCACCCAGTGTGTCTGTCTGTCTTCTTTCTTTCTTTATTCCTTCCTTTCTTCTTCTTTCTATCTTTTTTTTTTTTCAGAGATTTTTGCTATAGGGCATATGTGCTGGCCAGAGAGATAGAGAGAGACACAGAGACAGAAAACAAGAAATTGCTTTCCCCGAGGGGAGATGACCATGCCACAATCCCTTCTCCTCTATTTTTTTCTTAGGATTTTGGGCATGCATGCACATGTGCCTAGCATGAATTTCAAGCCTCCAAGTCTGGGACTCGAACCATGATTGGCCACATGTGATCCAATGCTTTAACCACTATGCTACCTGCTGGCCCTCTCCCTTGCCCCATGTATTTTTCAAGCCTCCAAGTTCAGAACTCTAACTGTGCAGTTGGCCATATAGGATCCAGCCACCTTCACTACCACACCACCAGTTGGTCCTCAGATCCTATTTTCAAACCTTTCATGCAACAGAGCAAAGAACAATTCAGTGCGATAATAATTATACATTATTTAATTATGTAATACAATAACTATAATAATAACCCTCATTTATTGAGCCCCTACTGAGTTCCACATTCATGCATTAATTTTTTTTAAAGAGGGATTTTTGCTATAGGGCATGTGGACTTACCTGAGAGACAGACAGAAAGTGAGAAATCACTCCCCAGGGGAGATGGCCACACTGCAATCCCCTCTCCTCCATTCTCTTCTAGAGATTTGAATTTCAAGCTGCTGAGTTCACACCATAGTTGACCATGTGGGAATCCAGCACCTTAACCACTGTACTACCTGCTGACCTCCATACATTATTTTTATTTTATTTTATTTTTAAATTATTTTTGAGAGTGATTTTTGCTATAGAGTATGTGTGCTCCCCAAGGAGACAGAGAAAGACGGAGAGACAAAAAGTAAGAAATCCTCCCCCCAGGGGGATGGCCTTGTGGACAATTCTTTCTCCATTCTCCTCTTGGGATTTTGGGCACACACATGCATGCCCAGTGTGAGTCTTAAGCCGTGGGTCTGGGGCTCAAACTGCCTTTGACTTTGTGGGAGTTCAGCGCTTTAACCACTATGCCACCTGCTGGCTCCACATTAATTCTTTTAATACTCTCATAGCAATTGACATTGTCAGAAATGAGCTATGTGACTTTGGGCTTAATCTCTCTGGGCCTTGCTATTCATATCTGTAACATGGAAAAGGATAGAAGCTACCTATGCACTGATTATTGCTTTTAATCCACATAAAAACATTGTGCTTGATGTGTAATAAGCACTCAGAGTTAACATTTTATTGTAGAATATTTGAACAATACAGACAATTCTAAAGAAAAAAGTAAAACGGAGACGGACAGTAGTGCAGCTATATAATGCAATGCTCTTTGAGGCTGACCCAAACAGAAAAGTTCCCAGTTCATGTCCAAAGACCTCCTTGAGAACACTGTGCACACATGTGCCCATGATCCAGGGCTAACTGAGGCTGAGGGTGGATCATAACCTCAAGACCCTTTTGGGGGTATCTGTCTCTCTTTACCTCTCTTTCTCTCTGTCTCTTGCTTGCTTGCTTGCTTGCTTATGGAGTGAAGAAAGAGAGAAGAAATTAAATATCTAAAATCCTATTCTCAGATTTCTAAACTGTTCCCTGAACACCCATGGCAATGAGAATCTATGGGTATACGTCACTTTATGTAAGTGGGGTCACACTGCATATCAAAGTGTAAGCCACTGACATCTTTAAGCATCTGAGCAGAACAAGAGCTATATAATTCTTTCCTTGCTTAAAAAGAACTATTTTATTATTTAATTTTATTTATCGTTATTACTATTTTCTAGTCTGACCAGAGAGTGAGAAAGAGAGAGATTGGGGGGAAGTGAGAAAGCAAGCCGCCAGGTCTGGGACTCGAATTGCAGTCAGCCATGTGGGAGTCCAGTGCCTTCACCACCATACCACCTGCTGGCCCCAGCTATATCATTCATTTTATCAGCTGTGTGTCCTGGAGTTGTATGAATGCACATTCGTACATGCATAGTTTATTTAACCAATTCTATATTGGTGGATGTTTGATTGTCTTCCTATTTTTCTCTGAGCCAAGTTTTAAAGCGGTGAGGGAAGTAACGGGGTAGGATACATACAAGAGCTTCCAGAGTGGTAGGAACTAGACAGGCTTTTCCCTGTACATTCTTGGATCTTTATAGCCTGCCCAACCCCAGGAAGTACTCAGCCAAGCTGCCTTCCTGCAAACTCCAGTGGGGCAACAGGTCGACCTTCATTCCTCCTTCCTCCACTCTGAGGAAGATCTCTGAGCAATCAGGGCCTCTTCATTTGCCTTGGCTCCATTAGCCTGGGGCTGGGGGTGTGAATGGTACAGCCATTCCTTGCTAAGTGCATGAATTAAACTAATAGGTCATCTGTGTTTTTCTCTGAAGAAGGTCCAAATTCCTGGTAATCAACCAGACCACTCTCCCAGGCCAGGGCCCAGAGCCAAGACCCAGGGTGGGGGCTATAGTGACTGAACTGAGCTTTTAGTGGTATCTTGGCTGGCTGAGATAGTTAATGCCATTAGACTAGCTTCTGGGCTACAAGGTGGGAAGGGCTGCTGGCAGCAGTGGTAAGTAGAGAGTGCTAAATGATAGGTCTCTCCATGGTTGGAATAAAGCACTGTCTTTTGAATATCTCCAAATTCACCCATTCAGTCAGTCATTCATTCAACAAACTTTTAATAGGCACTTGCCTTGTTTTAGGAGACAAGATCTGTCCCTGGCCATTTATGAGCTGCCATTTTAATGAAGGGACAGCCTAGGACTCAAGTTTGGGCAGTTGGAACTCTTTAGTTATTTGTAGTTAGTCTGTTTGTTTATTTATTTATTTATTTTTGGAGAGGTTTTTGCTATAGGGCGCGTAAGCTCGCCAGACAGAGAGAGACAGAGAGACAGGAAGCAAGAAATTACCCCCCAGGGGGGATGGTCATGCCACAATCCCTTCTCCTCCATTCTCCTCTCGGGATCTTGGGCACACACGCACACACGCTTGGAGTGAGTTTAAGCCACCAGGTCTGGGACTCGAACCGCGGTCGACTACGTGGGAGTCCAGCACCATAGCCATTACACTAACTGCTGGTCCCAAGTAGTTATTCTGCTTAATTATAATATTTAGCTGTTTGATTTGGGGAAATTTTATCCACTTTTTTTTTTCACTTTTTTTTTTTTTAAGTTTTTTGTATGGGGGGCATATGTTTTTCAA